ATCATCTGAAATCAAAAAATCAAAGTTCATTCGTTAGATAATAGTTTTCCCCAGGTAACGCTGGGAGGGTTTTTCGAAATTTAAATTTTTCACTTTTTTGGAACACTTTGAAGTGAAAAATTTAAATTTCGAAAAACCCTCCCAGCGTTACCTGGGGAAAACTATTATCTAACGAATGAACTTTGATTTTTTGATTTCAGATGATCCAGCACCAAGTTATGATGGGCCCCGCAATTCTACTTTTTTCCTGAGACACGTCCGAATAATTGCTGCCATTGCCGTATTTTTTAATATTTCTTCGTGAAAATTTTATACAATATTCTTCGAATGTCATACTTTAATGTACCATTGGTTTTAAAAAAGAGATTTTTACTGTGTCGTCACAAAAAATTCACAAAAACATGCCTTTTTTTGTACAAATTAACTTTCCCCACCCCTTAAATAAAATTCGTTCTATTGAAAATATATTATTTTCTTGTGATTCAAAAACGGATAGAGTTACACCGAATCTATTTAAGAATGGCCCAAAATTTACATAACAACATTACGAAAGATCGAAGAAAATGAATGTTCTAGTTAAAGTTAAACCGAAAAATAGATAGAGATAGGTATGTATTAGATTAGATTAGATATATCGAAACACGCGAACTTTGGCAGTAACGATTTCAACTTTATTATTCCATACATCTTTCTTTTTCTTTTTTATCGTTCTCTAAAAGAAATTATTCAGTTAGCGGCACGTTGTATATCGATTGAAATATAAGAGCTTTCTACACATTATGGCAAGAATTAAAAGGGCACAAAACTAAACTAACAATATAAGAAGGAAAAAAGAAGAAGAAGAAGAAGAAGAAGAGGAGGAGGATAAAGAATAAGAATAAGAAGAATAATAAAAATAAAAATAAGAATAATAATAAGAAGAATATGAGTCGAATTCTCGCTTGGCGTGACCGCCTTGGCGATATCTCGACGTGCCTTGACCTAGAAAATTACCTAGGCACACGCAAATGAAATTGCAGGTGAGGGTTAGGAAGAAAAAGGGAGGCTGAAAAGGGGGAGAAAGAGAGAGAGAGAGAGAGAGAGAGAGAGATAGAGAGAGTGAAAAAGAGGACGACGAGCTACAATGTTTGGCGTCTAAAGCTTTGAATGAAGGAGTATCGTGTCAATGAAAAAGTTGTGCTGCGGTTGATTGTTTTAATCGAAGGGGGTTGCCATTACATACACCTCTACCAACAAATTTCTTACAACGATTGTTTTTTTTCTTTCTTTTTTTTATGTTCATGTTTGATGAAAACATCTAATAATATGAAAGATAATATTGATACGTTTATTTAAAAATAATAATAATATATGCGAGGTGGTGTATGCAATGTTACCGTGTGTGAGAGAGAGAGGAAGAACGTTTGTGATCGTAAATACCTTCGTAGTACAAAAGCAACACTCGAATTCGCTAGGTATTTCATCAATTTTCTCGAATTTTCTGCTCTCTTTTTTCTCTTCATCCTACAAATGTCACACACACAATTTTTCGATTTTACTTATTTGCGAGTAAGACTCGGTCCTCTGGATGATTTCGCGAAGTATCCAGATCGTTTAGATATGTTCTTTATATTTATTTATTTATATATATTTTTTTAATATTACGAACAATTGTTACTTACTTGCGTAAAGAAATAATTTCATGTTAGGTTAATTATTCTTATTTTTATCGATTAATTATTATTAAACGTATTTAGGAAGATCATTTTCACGAATACTTATTTTGAATTGGTTATTTAAAATAAAATAATTTCTTTTTTAAACGATTTGAATGCTTTGCGAACGAACAAACGTAAGAAGAAAGTGTGTGTTTAATAATAAAACAGGAAGAAAAAAAATAAAAGTAAGAAAACGATTTAAAAAAGAACGTGTGAAAAATAGAAACGTAATAAAGAATAAAAAAAAAAATGAATATAAAAAAGAAACAAAATATTCGATCACGTGGAGCCAGAGAGACGCAAGTATACTCTTTTTTTTAAATTTATTTTTTAAATTATATACGCGAGATCGGAAGGAGTGCAAGTGTGTGTAAGTAAGTAAGTAAGTAAGTAAATAGTGTTATCATCGTGCTAGTCGCAAACTTTGTAGTAGAGTAGAAAGTAAATTAAGTGATAAATGCTTGAACGTGGTCAGACGAAATGGAGATTCGTCCTTTTATCGAAATTAAAAACGAAAGGTTTATTCGAACGAACCTTTTTTGTTGCTTTTAACGTAAATCGATTAATGACCGTTTTCTCTTTTTTTTTCTTTTCATAAATTATTTATGTGAGACACACGGTGCTAAAATATGTGGTGTTGTATAAAAAGAAATGAAAACGTGGTAACACTGATCGGATTTAATATGCAGGATGTTTTTCTATACGAGTTTCGATATTTTCGAAAGATCGATTTATTCGTAAAATCAATAATCTGAATAATAATAAAATATACTCGTTTATGAAACACAGCTTGTATATCAAATCGTTTTTAATAGCAAAATAATTGACGATAACAATTTTTTCTATCGTTACTTACGCGAACTTTAACGGCATTGCGTTGAAGAATTTCAAATTAAAACATCGCTCGATCTGTCTTTGTTGAGATTATGTGTGTATGCATAATTATCACTTGATTGTACAGTAAAAAAGAAAAAGAAGGAAGAAAAAAAAATGTTATAACAAATGTCTTTATCGTACTTTTCGTTTGATTGGAACTAAAGTAAAATATTTAAAAAGAAAAAATACTATTTATGGTTTTTTTTATTTCCATCGAAATTTCTACGATCGTAGAATTTGTTCCCACATCTCTTTGTGTTCAGTACACATTCCCTCTCTCTCGAAATAATTATCAAAATATTTTCAAATAAAAACGTAAAAAGAAGATTTTTTGTTTTGATTTGAAGAAAATTTGACACGTAACGCTTAGCAAAAGTTTTGTATTTTTTATTTATTATATTAGCAGAAAAAATTCCTAAATCGAAGAATAGATTAGATATAAATTTGTATAATTATTTTTTTGTAGTATAATTTGTACGAAAAAAAATTGAATTGAATAAAAAAATATATGAAAAAAATAGGTCATCGTCCCCTTATTCTCTTTCTCTCTCTCTTTCTCTCTCTCACACACATACACACACAATTTCGATTTAATTATCTACAATTAGTGCAAAATTTTCAATTAACAAGATCGAAATATCGTTTCATAGAAAAATTTTGTAAATGAAAAAAGAAAAACAATTTCTTCGAATTTCGCAAAAAATTTTGAAAAAATAAAAAAAAAACTCGAGGAAATGTTCTGTTGTATAAAAAATATAATTAATAAAAATTAGTAAATAAAAATTGGAAAAAAACCGCGTTAATTAAATTTCGTTGGAAATATTTGAATACACGTATTTCTGTGTTTTTCTTCTCACCTTGCATTCATTCACAGTTAAAAAATAGTTATAATTAGTTTCATTCGTCTATTCAACCAATATCACATTTCAGTAATCATTATTATCATCAACATTATTATTATTATTATTATTATTATTATTATTATTATTATTATTATTATTATTAATTATTATTATTAATATTATTATCATTATTAGTAATAGTAATAATTACATACGTAAAATTACATACGATAATCTTTTTTTCTATTTATTCTGTTTTTTTTTTGTTAATTCGTTCGTTTTACAACTTCGTTCATTTCTACGTCTTTTTATATTCGTTCAATTATTGTTCCGAGAAAAAAGATTCGAATCTTAACTATAGTTTGTTGTTGTTGTGTTGTTATTGTTGTGTAGTAATAATAATAGTAGTTATTGTTGTTTATCAAGATAAGTGTGTGTTTGATGGAGGTAAAATTTTGTTAAAATGTTTTAAAATCTATGCGATGCGTTTGAAAAATATTATCTGCTTTTCGAATTGAAAAGTAACGATCTATTGTCTCTTTTCTAATTCGGAAAAACGTTAATCCTAATAGAGATTTTAGAGTTAGTTAGGGGACCTTAGTAACATAAATCTCGATTAATGGCAATCGAGTTTTAATTTTTTTTTCCGCATCGATTATCGTAAGATTCGTTCTGATAGAGACACACAACCAACAACACGGCAAGGTCCGACACTAACAGTAGGTTAATTTGTCTCTTCAACGAATCTGTGTATGCATGTGTGTAAATATATATATATATATATATATGTGTGTGTGTGTGTGTGTGTGTGTGTGTGTTTGTGTGTTTGTGTTTGTGTCTGTTAGAAGGGCACAGCTTTTCTCAACGTTGCTGGTTCAATGCGCGCTGTCGGACATTGCCTGTAACATATCGACACGAAAAAAAATCTGTCAGATATATATATGAGCGTTTGAGTATGTATGGTAGACGGGCCTTTTATTTTTTTTTTTATTTTTTATATTTTTTTATCTTATTTTCTTTTCTTTTTAAACCCTCTAACAAATTCACGTTACTCTTATTATTTGTTTCTATTCAATTGGCTCACGCATATATCTGAATTATTTTTTTATTTTTTTTTTTTATTTTTTATTTAATCACAACCACTTGACTCACATTGCCAATGGTTTCTTTTTTTTTTTTAATTCTCTCTCCCTCTTTTTATCGAAAGTTTGTTATTTCTTAATTACATATATTAAGGAGGATTAGTTAAATTAATAATATAATACGTAATATTATAAATCATTCCATTTTAATATATATATATATATATACGCATGTATATTATTTATTTATCTTAAAATTTAATTATTTCCACACAATATTGTTGTTCAATATTTTTTTTATAATTTGATTTTATTAATTATATTGCAAATGAACCAATAAAATCATCGATTAGCAAATTTAATTCTCATTTCTTTAAAGTTCACAGATCTTGATTATAAATTTCATTTTTACAACTGTATAATAATAATATATTATATATGCGCATATATATATTTTTATATAAACATAGAAGAAGTAAATTTAATTTGTAAAAGTTTAAACAATTGAAATGAAATTATCGTTTAATTTTATATAATACTCGACAGAACGAATAACAAATATTTCGAAATTATTTTTAATCGACGATAAAAGAAAAATTTAAATATAAACAAGAATAGAATAAAAATTAAAAATAACCAAAAATAAAAAAGATGAAATTTATTAAAATATATTTCACGAATAAATGAGATCCCGTAAACTATTAATTCTAAAATAAATCTTTCTTGAGCAAATGATTGATTGATCAATCGATCCAAGACCTTTGTACTTTATGAATGCTTGTTCATTCGATCGTGAAAAATTGAACTCAATAAGAAAAAAATATCAGGAAAGGGTCTAAACAGAAAATAATAATCGATCAAACGATCAAAGCTTTTAACTATCGACCAAATTATTTCTACTTCATCGACAACGATTTAACACAACTTTGTATTTATAAAATCGAAAATAACAAATTATCGAGAGAATTAAAAATAACGAAAATAAAGGAAAAGAAAAAAAAAAGAGTATAGCAGGGCTCGTGAAACGAATATATTTAAATTTTACGTGTTTAAAAACATAGATTATGTGTAAAGTATATAATTACGTATAAAGGTTCAAATTGTATTGTTTCAAAATAGTATCTCACATAGGAAAACGAACGAATGTGCGTGTATACTTTTATGTGTATGTATTTGTGTGTGTTTGTGAAGGATAGGAAAAGTAAACAGGTGTGCGAATAAACCGTGAAAAATATTACATACATCGAAATATAATATATATATATATATATATATATATATATATATATATATATATATATATATATATATATATAAAGATAGAATATCGTATGAAAAATAGTAAAGGATAAATATAACGATGAAAAAAAGAAATAATCGTTCTTTCGGGCTCCTCAGAGATCGTTGATTCGCTTTTGCGAAAGGTTACAGGACTTGCGCAAAAAAGAAATCAATCATTAAACGTATCTTTTGTCAAAACACCTTTTTATATTATTGCAAATACTAAGTATCCGAAAAATGGCAAATTCTTGTCATTTTTCTTTCGAATAGGCCCATTTGTTTTTTTCTAACGAGTCACTGTAATTACAAGTTCACGTTTTAAAATGACCAAAAAAGAAAATATTACAATTTTATTTAATAAATCAATAATTGAATATTTTTGTTGTGCGTTAAACACAAACTTTTTGGGCACCACGTATATTAAACCTCCAACATTTTAATATATGGGGAAGGGGGAAAAGAAAAGAATGTTTTATTCGAATTTCAAACGATGTTATTGCGCAAGTCTCCAAATAAAATGAGAGTAACACAATTTATATCTGTTCGTGAGAGTTTGAACAGACATCGTATGAATCATTCATCGTGGGATGACACGAGGTTTGCATGAACAAAAAAGAAAAAAATACAATTTTAAACATTATAAAGGGAGGATAAAAGAATTTCAATAAATAAATAAAAAATACGTACTCTCACTTACAAATAGGAAAACGCGAGAGGATCGAACGTTTTTATAATTAAGTGTCATGATCTACACACATATATTTATATATATGTATATATTTATATGGATAGTTATAAGATACATAGTTAGATAGATAGGTTAGATAGAAATATAGGTAGATAGATAGACGGATAGAAAGATAGATAGATAGATAAATAGATAGATAGAAAAATAGATAGATAGATAAATAGATAGAAACATATACATATACAAGGAGAAGCGAACTCTTCTTTCACTCAGCTGGCGTGTAAGATGCTATTTAGAATGTCATACTATTTTCAGCACGAACCTATTGCATCTATATATCAGAAAGAACACGCGTGGCAATTCTTGGACTTTGCAATCGTTAGAAACATTGCGATCAAGGTATTTTCTTACTTTTGTATATATATATATATATGATGTACACACGCATAGGCATTATAAATATGAACCCGTAATAACATTGGCAATTTAACGTTAAGAAAAGAAACGATCGTTCTTCTCGCTTTCCTTTATCTAACAAGGAACACATAAATCATCGATTTATCATTGGATAGGTAATAATAATTTTTTACAATTGAAATTCGTAAATTAAACCAATTTTTTCCTTGCGACTTTTATTTTTTTTTTTTTTTTTTAAGCTACAGCATCGAGCACACTTGAAGTTGCTTTGTAAACAAATAATTTCTCTTATGTTTTTTTAATTAATGTATTAATACTCTTCATTTTTGAAGATATTACAAAATATATTCGTTGATAAATGTAATAAAGAAATGTCAAGTATGAATTAAAATAAAAAAAAAAAAAATATACAAATATAAGAAAAAAAATAAATATATATGGTTATCAATATTATTATTAATTTATCTTAAAAATTGTATATATTCCAATATTTTTTTATTTATACACATATATAAAATACGAAGGACCGAAATGTTGAGAAATCTGGGCTTCTCTAATCGAGGGTAGTTCATATAATAATAACGAAAACAAATCTTAATAATTTCAGTCATTATTCATAAAAATGATTATAATAACTAAAAAGCATTAATTCTAGTTATATGAGTTAAGTAAAAACTTTCGAGTGCAACAGGTTAAAAGGGTTTACACACTACAATTGTATTATCAATATGTAAAATATTAAATCATAATAATTCATAACAAGTTGACACCGTTTAAATCGAAACATGAAACAGTATTGATTCATTTTTTTTTTTTTTTTTTTAATGATGATCGATGACAAATGGCTATTAATCTTGTCAATTATTTTTTTTTACTTAAACTTTCGAGGGTGCTCGATGATAAAAAAATAAATAGATAAGATAAATAGATAACAAAATTAAAATACAAAATAAAATAAATAAATAAATAGATAAATAAATAAATGTATGTATGTATGTATGTATGTATGTATGTATGTATGTATGTATGTATGTATGTATGTATGTATATATTTAGGTATATGGTGTCGATAATAATAATAAGCGTTGATATCTGGCTCCATCGCTTGTTGCTTTACGCTAGAGTATAAAAGCACAGGGCAGGAACACGTAATAAGGTCGAATTCATGCTGGCGACATAGTGCGACACACACCGACAATTTTTGCAAAACAAAAAGAAATAAAAAAAAAAGCAAATGAACGAACAAACCAACGAACTAACGTACGTACGAACGAACGAGGAAAATTTTTATAATAATTCAAAAATTAACGATAAATACAACAACAAAAAATAAACGTAGAAATATATCGTAAGAAAAATCTTAATGCAACTCTAATATGAATAACGCTTTAATTTCGTTCGTGTAAAAAATATATAATCATCGATCGTAAAATTTAGAAACTATAGAAATAATTTAAGTTTTTAACGCGCATCATTTTTACGCGTCCCACATTTAGCAATTCTACGATATCGTGTAATTTCAAAAGCAAGGATGAAAAGTTTCCACATAAACCGAAAGTTTTGTAGGCGATTTTACGAATTAATTACACTTTTTTTCTCAATTTTTTTTTTAGGAAAGATAGTTAAAAATCGTGATTTTATGAGCTTGAACACTCGTAGTTTTAGAATATAAAAAAAAGAAAAAGTTACCCCCTCACAAAGTGTCTGGAAATAGTGTAATTGATTTTTTATATAATGACTTCGTAACTTTAGGCCCATTTCATAGAAACTTCTCGCCCCACTTTTATACGCGTTTATTTTTTTTTTATACGTATCTATGGAAAAGAACAAAGAAAAAAGTGAACGTAAGTTGCACAATTGCAATTGCAAATTTTCAATACTCGGCATTAATCCGGTGAAGAAGCAGGACGTTGCAAAAGGGTTGTAACGTCAAATATTTAGAAAGATGCAATTGAACAATTTTGTGGGTTTCGTTCTTTAAAACCAACAAACTAAATCAAAGCAGCAATTCGTCATAATATACGTACATAATGACAAAACATTGAAATGATAAAACATTGACCAGCCGGAAAAGAAAAAAAAAAAGAAATATATATATATCTACATTATCGTAGATTTTATAAACAATGATGACGACAACAACGTTCGCGGCCTTCCTGTGGTTTTATGCTCTACGTTTTACGAAATAGATGCTTCCGTATAAAAAAAAAACAAAAATCAAAAAGTAATACAAATTAGGAAGCTATCTGGTTCGCCATTGTAACCAGTCTATTTTTCGATTCTCGACGATATCATTAATAAAAAATATTTTCCATCAATTCACATTTTCACAAACCGATTGATAGATATTTTTAAATAAAAAATAAAAAACAAAATTAAAATTAATCCCCTTATAATTTTGTATAAAATCAATTCTTTTTATTAGAGACATATATTTATTTTTATTATAATATAATAATATCTTTTTATTATTATTCAGAAATATATATATTAATTCGTCTAATAATAATAAATAAGTAAATAAAGAAATATACATCTTGATCAACCGTCGGGAATCATTTAGGCATGTGAATGATGAGGCCATTTAAAAAATATATATATATATACATATATAAATAATTTCGCAAATATAATTGTATGCAATAAACAATTAGATGAAACTTACGCTGGGTGTAGTATTTCCTTGATTAGCGTTCTGCGCCGGTACCTCGTCGTGGAAATAATCGTCGTTCTGTGTCCCGGGTACGCTCTGTGCGAAGTCCAATAAACGACGATTCGGACTATCCGGTGTCGTCGGTAGGTCATTCGGCAGATTCGGGAAACAGGACGACGTGCTACGACGATGCCGGGAGAGACTGTAATGCTCATAATTACGATAGCAACCTGGACCGGTTTGTGCTGGTGCCCGACCGCATGCGGATTCACCTTCCGTACTGTTACCATCTACCCCAGACATGTTGTGACCTGGAAAAATGTATTTTAGAGAGTATCAGGAGTTTTGAACGATCGGTTTGTCGCTTCTAATCGAATAACCGATAATGCTGCGCTCGATTGAACTGTCGTTTTTAAGGGATTTTTATATACACGTTATTTCTTCTTGTCTCTCTTTTTTTTATTTTTTTTTTTATTTTTAAACCGACGGTTAAATTTGGAAAAAAGGTATGATTCTTAAATCGTAGTAGTAACAAAAAAAAAAAAATAAAAGGTGAAAGTATTTGCAAGACCGGTTATTTGTGAAACACCTTGTATCGATGTGCAAGATATATATATTTTAATAGAAACGAAATGTGACGTGCTAAAGGAGCATGCTTGCAAGTAATCGTTTCGTGACTCTTGCTCAATGATAAGGACTTCGAGTGGTAGGCGTTTAAAATAGAAAGAGAGAAAGATATAGAGATAGAGAGAGAAAAAGAGAGAGAGAGAGAAAGAAAGAGAGAAGGTCAAAGTCGTCCATGTTGCGTCAAAGGTCCGTCGCTTACCAGTATCAACGATGACGTCGATAAGGTCCATGCTCTTGGCGAAAGCATCCCTCAGATTGATGTGATGGAAAGAAACGATGCTGCCCTCTCTCTTAGCCCTTTCAAGAGCCTCCCGCCTCTTAAGGGCCTTCTCCCGTCTCATCTGATTCTTGTAGAACTCAGCGAAGTTGTTGACGATAATGGGAATGGGTAACGCGATTACCAGGACACCACATATACAACACACACTGCCGATCACCTTGCCGAGCGGGGTCGTGGGGTAGATGTCGCCGTATCCGACGGTGGTCATCGTGATGCCTGCCCACCAAAAGGTTTCTGGAATGCTTATGAATTTGGTCCCGGGCTCCTCCTTCTCAGCGAAGTATGCGAGACTAGAGAATATGAGGACACCCATTGCCAGGAAGAGCATCAGCAGGCCCAGCTCCTTATACGAGTTACGTAATGTAAAACCAAGACTCTGTAGCCCGGTAGAATGTCGAGCCAACTTCAAAATTCTTAAGATCCTCATAATACGAAAGATCTGCACTACCCTGCGTACATCTTGGAATTGGTCGGTCGCGTTCTTGTTAGTCTCGACCAGGAACAGAGACACGAAGTACGGCAGTATTGCCAATAAATCAATCACATTGAGACCGCCTTTGAAGAATTTCCATTTGTCCGGCGAAGCACTGAACCTAAGCATGTATTCGAGGGTGAACCATGTTATACACACGGCTTCCACCATGGCTAGTTGCGGATTGTCTTGAAAGTTCCCCTTCTCGTCATTCACTTGCATACTAGGAATTGTGTTGAGAGTTAGTGCGATCGTCGAAAGCACAATAAAGAGTATCGAAATCACGGCTATCACCTGGAAAAGCGACGGTCAAACCGGTCAAACGGTCAAACGGTAGTCTTTTTCTTTTTTTTTTTTGTATCATCGTCCTCTATTAAAAAAACCTATCGCTAACTCGCAATATATATGACGAAAATTATCTTTTATTCTCCCTTTTACATTTCATTCAACTTTAGTATTAATTACCTAACGAGTATCTCCTATTATGAAGTTAAGAATGTGGAGAAAAAAGAGAGAGAGATACAGTGAAAATAAAACAGAGCAAAAGATAGAATAAGACAGAGAAAGAGAAAGTGAGAGAAAGAGAAAAAGAGATAAATATACCAAAAATTAAATCGAATCGGGCAATTAATTGGAAAACAGTTGTACCTACAAACAAAAAAATATATATATAGAATAGATTCTCTTGGATAGATTTCAAACTTCCTTTTAGATTTGAACGATTAATTAGGAATACGTAATTGAACAAGCGTAGCTATCAAAAAGAAGATGAAAAAGTGAAGAGGAAGAAGAAGAAGAAATAGAAGAAGAAGTGGAAGAAGAAGAAGAGAGGAAATGAGAGTTACTTCAAAATGTTCCAACAAAGAGTTACTACTCTCTTTCCTCCTTGATAAAAAATATATACACATATATATATGTATATATATGTATATATATATGTATATATATATATATATACGACGAAACCATATTGAGAAATATTTATAATACATAATAAGCTCTTTCATTTTACGAAAGCGATTGATAATAAAAAATTAAAAAGCCTTTGATAAAAGCTACAGAGATATAAAAGATACTATAAGAGGCTATTATGACAAATCTAAAGATTTGATTATTAATATTTTATTGGGATTAATATTTTCTATCATAATCTTCGCTTAATAAAAATTGGCGAATATAGAAGCGAAGCGACAATTAATTCGACGATTAACGAAACGTACGAAACATCTGGCATTGTACTATTATAACAAATGGATTTATTAAATGCTTGTTACAAAAGCAAGAGAACAAATGTTACGTTTAATTCTCCTCTTTATTCGTAATAAATACACGCTTCTTCTAAAAAGATATGACGCTATCGAAACGAAAAAATGAAAAAGGGAAGATAAATGTAAAAACGTGAAGAAATTCTTCATTAAGAGATGGAGAAAAACACGATCTATTGATTATTATGTCGATAAAAGATTTTTAAAATTGCGCAATTAATAATAATAATAATAATTATTATTATTATTATTATTATTATTATTATTATTATTATTATTATTATTTTGTCTGGGACGTATAAAAAATGCGAACGATGGGCCAGAGCGTAAAAAAGAGTCACCAACCGGATAGAAAGAAATTTGAAGAAATAACAAATATATTTATGTACGCTATATATATACACGAAGGCAACAGCAATAACAATAACAACAACAGCAAAAAAAGGGAACGTTGTATCCCCTATACATTTTTGGGGAGAAATTTAATTGATTGATTGATTGATTAGATGAATGAGAGGGTGCTTGTTGGTATAAAAGAGAGAAGATTTCATCACGTCATCTTTGGATACTAAGCGCGAGAAAGGCGCATTTAAGAAAAGGTCAATAATATATATATAGTATATATATATCATATATACTATATATACTATATATATATATGTTGGAGATTTTTTAAAGCAGCAGCACCGAGAAGAGTGGCTCGTCGTTTAAAGGCAGGTCTGCCCGACGTCGCTCGACTCATACAAAAATATGTTTTGCACGTTGTTCGGCAAGCGTATTGAAGAAACATCATTTATCTGTTCCCTTCAAAACCCCGCTCCCTCTGTCTCTGTCAATGGATCCCAACCCCCATCGGATAAGACGAAATCACGTTAATGTTGTATTCATTAATTACAATCCTATATGTGGCATTTTAATTAACCCTTTCGTTCCACAATGATATTCGTTCGTACGCACATTCTGACCCTTATATATATGGGGGGTCGTTAGTAACGAAAGGGTTATTAATCTTAATAACTTAGGATATAATTGTTATGCTTAATTATTGTATCGATCCCAACCAAGAAAACCCAATATGTATCTATATCTATATATATATATGCATATTTATATCTATAATATAATATAATATAATATAATATAATAGATATGACAACATATCTGTATATATGTTATAATACGCGCGGTTTTATAGAAATAGTCTTCGTCGCGTCTGTGCAATCGCTACAATGCGAAATCAATTCGTAGATAGAAGGGTTTATAGCAAAAATTATGTTGTTGTTAAATAACGCAAAAAAGTAAGAGGCGCTCGTTTCGCAAATTTATAATTACGGGTAACCGAGCTAATTCGCCGTCTCGTGGTTTAATCTTATACAAATTGTTCTTTTTTCTTATTTTCTTTTTTTTAATTTTTAATTTAATTCTTTTCAATTCTTCTATTTCATTTCGTCATAATTTTTGTTATTATAAAATCTTTTTTTTATGCATGGAAAGAATCGATTTTTCTACGATGTTTGACATCGGTCGTTAAAGATTGAAAATTATTTTATTCCTCGAGACGGCGTTATTGTATATAATGTCATTCGCAAATTTTGTAATTATTTGAATAAACCGAGCAAATTAGCCGTCTCGTGGTAAATCAAAATTTCAATTAAATTTTAATATTGATTATATTAACAGAATTTATTTGCAAATTTATTTTTAGAAAGATAATTGATTTTGACGATTATTGTTAATCAAGTTAAATTGATTTAAATCCATGAGACGGCGTGTTATTGTATAACTAGATGATCATTCGCAAATTTATTATTATAGCAGCAAATTCGCCGTCTCGTGATAAATTAATACAAAAAAGAAAAAAAAAGATTAAATTCAAAAATTCTATCAAACAATTATTATTAATTAATTCATATCACTTATTGATTCATTTTATTGATATTTTCTTTCATTTTTGACAAGAAAAAGAACGAAAAATCGAAATATTAAATAGTAATAATAATAATTTTGTCATCATTGTAAATAGGGACACGATAAACATGATATAACACGATTAAATTCCTCGAGACGGCGTAATAGTGTGATACAAAATGCAATATTTTCAAGCAAAAACTTAATAAAGGTCATTGATAAAGTAACAATAAAAGGAATTTTGTCCTGCATGCAAGTTTAATGAATAAATGTACTATTTTCTCTCCATAGAAAGATAGAAAGAAAGAGTAAGAAAGAAATAGAGAAAGAGAAAGAAAGTAAGAGAAAGAGAGAACAAGAAAGAGAGGGAGAAAGAGAGAGAGAAAGAGAGAGAACAGTAACCATTTATCCACATGAAAATTGATCGTGCTAATGGTATACGATCTGGATATAATAAACGTGTCCGTGTGTGTATAAGTGCGTTAGTACGGTTAGTATAATTGTTTACAGAAAGCTGTTACGTGCGCTTTTAGGTATACGATGTGCGGTCATATTAGCTGCAAGGAAATGCCAAGTTCTATACGAAATCATTGAACAATAATATCCTGCCCCATTATTTTTTATTTATTTATTTATGTATTTCTTTTTTTTCTTCTTCATTTTCTTTTTTTTTTAACAACAAATCATTTTCGTTCTCTAAAAATTCAAAGACGAATATATGCGCATATAAATTGTTTCTTCGATTTCGTTTAGAACTGAGAAAAAAGAGAAAGGGAGGATAACAGAAAAGAGAGGCTTATTATAAGTAAAAATAAAATGAAAAAAAAAAGTAAGGAAGCCGGCGGCCTGTGATTTAAATTGTGCAAAAAGGCGAGATATCTTTCGTAAAAATTCGTAAATCAACGTGGTGGACATAAAGTGCAATGGAGATTAAAAACGCAAGCTAACTCTTTTATATTTATTTATATATATATATATATATATGTTATTTATTTTATATATATATATTTATATTTATATATCTCCCCAAGTCGGATAAATAAATAAAACGCGTAACGGGTTTAAACCTCGAGTTGAGAATTTTGGAACAATCGTTTTTTTTAATTCTTTCTCCGTTCTTTCCTCCCACATATCAAATTAAATTTATTTCGAAAAAAAATAATAAAATATATATTTTTTTGTTTATTTATGCATCAAACAGATCAAAACGTAATTTTTCTATAATAATCGATGAAAAACGAAAGTTCGTTGAACTCGACTCGAGAGTCATCAGATCGTAAAGCATAAGAAAAATAAATAAATAAAGATCTTTATATTTTATTCCTTTTATTTCCGGTTTGACGATAAAACGAAAAGAAAAAAAAAAGGACAGAAAAAAAATAAAGTAGCACCGAAGGGATATAAGAGCTTTTTATGTTTCCTTTTTTTTTTTAACTAATCAAAGCCCAACTCGAAGTATAGTTTTTACTACAGTCACGACAAACGCGGAGTAATTATATACATACAATGACGACGAATTTGACGAAGACGACAACGACGACAATGATACAATAACGAGGACGATGACGACGACACAAAGACGACGATAACGAAAACGACAAAACGGATTTTCTTCTCATTGACCGATTTCTTCTTCCTACCGTTTTTAAATATACCGTCAATCCCCGGGAATTTATACTTTATTTAATATTGATATACACATTAATTAAGAATAATAATAATAACCGTTGCTGACTAATTCATGAGTAATTGTAAAGCTTTCTTCTAATTGAAAAAGAAAATAAATAAAAAGAGAACATTCTTATTCGCGACTATGAGCTTTATCTCTTAAAAAAAAAAAAATTCGCATCGTATGTAATTTTTCACAACGAACACGCACATGTAATAATACATACTTAAAATCGTATATTATTATTGATATTATCAACAAAAATTATATAACATTAAACACGTCTCACGTTGATACTGTTATCAGCACGATTTTTATTTTTCTACGAATTAATGATCAACGAACATTTTTATCCTTCTCCACGTTTCGTTTTGAATAATTTAAAAAGAATAAAAAAAACCAACGTGAAAAATTTACTATTTTCGATTATTTTATTCGCATGGAAAAGTATA